TAAGACATTATATAAACCTCATAAGTGATTACTTCATTATACTTTAGTCCTTTAAGTGTTAGATATATGGACTAGAAAGGCACTAATGTTAACGGGAAGGGTAACATTTTACATATAAGTATTACTTCAGTAGCCAGTATCTAGGTGATAGAGTTCAGTTTAACTCCGGTTACTAGACTTAGGTGTAATGTCAAATTGTTCCCAGGTATGTAAACTGCCAAAGATTTAGGTACTTGTGAAAAATTTTGACAACTTTTTTATTTTGTATCGAGTCAAAGTCAACTACCGTTGGCGGCCTTAATTTTTCGGAGTCAACCATTTCGTGCTAATCATAGATAAGGTAGAGCTGTTTGTCTATGGTAGCCGTCAGTGGCCTAGTGATGTATCGAGTAGTATCGAGTGTCGCCGTACGGTGACACACGTTGAAGTGGCAAGAAGGAATTTATAAAATCATTAAATATTATTATATAAGTATTATTATTAATCTGGTACTGTCTTGGTGGAAGTTTTAATATGATAATCATATTCTAGGGCTAAAAAATAAACTTACTATAAAATTTCAGATGTAGTAATACATATGTCATACATATTATTACGTCAAGTTAATTCTGATGTTAATTTCCCAGTGTTTTTGTTTGCAAAATGATATAAACAAGCTTTTATTGATTGAATATTCTAAACAAACTTATGTTTTATGACATGTATATTAAAATTTCCACCAAAACACAAACGGTAGGTAAAATTTAATATTTAGTAAATGTGTAAATAGTTGGGCCTACAACTTTCTACACCTGTGTCGCTCAGTGTACAGCTATATTTAAAATTATAAGGTTTATTAACTATTCGTTTCTCTGTCTATAATATGTACCACTGTAAATATTATTCAATGTTTCCTAATTACATTTATTCGTAGTTTATTTGTCCCTTGCGCTATTGTTTCAAAGACATTTTTTAATAAAAATGTCAGCAAGTGAAACTACTCCGGTCTGTAAAATATTTTCAACTTTAGCGTTTTGGAGTAAAGTTGAAAATGTAATAACAGATAACTGGCGTCTCGTATGCATCGTTCCTTTTTTAAATAAAGTATTTTTTTCCTGTTTTCTTACATGCCTGTTACAGTATTATTTGTTTATTTAATGTTAGGAATTTATGATCCTCTTATTTTTATACTTTTTTACGACTTATCTTTGAACCCATGGCCCAGGGGACTTTCTATGGGTATACATTTAAATCAATCTCGATGTGCGTTATCACGTAATTTTCATATATTGTTAAATATCACTTTAATGCCCTATTCCACAATACAACACAATAGTCCGCGACGCTCGCACATTAAGATACCCCTGTCTATGTTAATAGATTTTATACTTTATTGTTTTGGAATAGAATGAAAAATCTATTGAGGCAATTGGACAGTTGGGGAAATCGATGTGCGAGGTCTATAGTGTAGCACGCTCGTATATTAGTTTTGTGTTTTGTGACATAATAAAAACAAATAAACACCAGCCCGCTACTACAGTACCACAAGGAATTAAATCACAAATATTTACTCCATTCAAACAAAAATGTAGACTATAAATCAATATGGCAGAAAATAAGTTCTGTCATTGTAAAATTTATCGGTGTTCGTAATTCAAATTGTCACATTTTTTTTTTAAATAGAACAGTAGTGAAGGATAAGGCTATGGTTTTACAAATTCTTGCTCATTTTTTCTCTTCCGTCCTTTAATTTGAAATTTAGACCTTATTCCCAATATGTGCAATAAATAATGTTATAGATGTGTCCTTAAATATTATGTATACTTGGGCTGTGACGAGCGAATCTTCGTTTTTACGATATATTTCATTTACCATTCATTATAATATGTAATGTAAGGAAATGTTAGCCTATGTCCAACGCTCAAAATCTCGGTAGATGTATTAGGCACATACGTGTAACCTTTTCATGAACTGGGTGTGATAGAATATGCGCGGAATCTTGTAAGAACTGGTTCAGGCCATGAAATAAAATAACTTTGGGATATTAATCTTATACCAACATTTTTGAAAACACTCCTCCCAAAAAGCTACGATGCAATGAAATAGTTTCTGCATGGTCAAGCAAGCAGGCGTAGGGAAAGGGTGGTTATTAGTCAGTGAAAGTCTGACACTGTCTCTCGCCTTATCGAAGGCGGGGTCATTTAATAGTTGTTCAGTTTCAAGGCCTTAACCAGCACTTATGAGGTTTGTGTTTATTCTATGGCACCTTGTAAATATATGTTAATTGTAGACTCAATGTCTTAATTGTTGTTATCGATAATACTGCAGTCTTAAAGATATTAGCCAGTAGTTTAAATCATAACCCAATTTTGATCTCTTATGGAATATTATCAGTGAGACGAGTAGACGTTAGTTATATTACATAAATACCTAATTACAATTAATTATTCAAATTTTAAGATTATTGTCTATAAATGTATTATTATGGAAAACAGGTTCTTGGAGTATCACTATTGTAGAAATTAATAGTCGACCTTAATCTAACATTATTAATATTATTTTATTAATATTTTAATAATTACAATGTCGATATATGAGACTCAATAGAAAACACATTTAATCTTGCGTATATCTGCGTATATCACGGGTTAGTATGCCAATAATCGGTGTGAAAATAATATGTCAAATAATCGGTCGATATTGACAGAAACTCTATAAAAGTAATGTCACAAATCGATGTCCATCCAATCCGATGTCAATCCGATTTTGGACTGAGATTGGTTATTAAATTCAGCCGTAGACGATACTTCCAGAATTTGTCATCAGAGTTGTTAAACTCAACGGTAATATCGATGACGATTTGACTGAGTCTTCGCACTCTGTGCGGTCAAAAAATTACATTTACAATGCATGTTCTACGCATGTTACAAGCACGATCCTAACATTTAATTGTAACGTCAATTAAGTCACTGTATAATAATACATTTTCAACATATCTGTCACTGTTAGTGTTTCAGTTCTAAACAGTTGCCCTTGGTACTGAAAGATATGACCATCTTGATAACCTAACTATTGGTAGACTTGGCCACCAAAGATAGATTAACTATCGATTCCAATAGACGACCTTAAACCACAGTCTTTGGATCGATCTTTATTTTTATCAAAATCGATCTTAATTATATTAAAGATAATGAAAGATCGGTTATTTAAATCAGGCATTAGTGTATAGGCTTTAGTCCGTCTTTAGTGATCAAATGTATCCACAGGTAGATTATCAAGACTGGATGATAAAAATGATGCAGTGTCAAATGATAGACCAAATCTTTGCGTCGAATCTGAGATGACGATGATAGAGGAAGGTAGGATAAGTGAATGTGTAAATGTACGGCACCCCAATTATAAGGTTAAGAGACTAAAATGGCCTGTCAATCTCCAAAATGAATTCAGTAAAGATTTTATAATCAAAAACGCTGTTGAAGAGTTAGTTACACATCAGAGTACTTAATGCGAGGTTGTTTTACATTAAGACGAATGATACATTTATGACGTCCGACGTTCTGATTGGTCTGCTCCAATAAGCCACCAATCAAAGGGACATGTCGATTGTGTTAAGTAAAATGAGCTCGCACTAGGCAGTCTGATCATGAAAGAAGCGTTCGAGGGTGACAAAGAAGTAAATACCTCCTTCTTCTTACCATTTCCATTTAATATTAAAGGAACGGTGTAAAAAAGGATTTTAATAAAAGTATACCGAAATATGCAAGTGTTTTAATTTGTTATTGCAAATTAATTGTCCCCATTCCTGTTGCATCCTATACTTAGTTCAGATTCCTACTTAACAATGCTGAGAAACAGGTACTGAAATCTAAGGTCTGGAATTCTAGAACTCATTGTTTTTCATAAAATAGCACTCACCACTAAAGAATCTAAGTTTCATCACGATCAACGAGATAAGGTAATTCTAACAAAGTAAGGTTGAAATCAACGAGGTGAGGTATGTGGAAAGCAATTGTCAATTATTTGTGATTTAAGAATCTTAATATCTAAAAAAAGGCAGAAGTCAGAAGTAAGGTGGTATTAAAATACTCAATTAAAACAACATTCGTTACTTATTTAATAAATAAATTATACAACAATATTAAAATCATTGTAATTCATAGATTTCCAGCCATTATTTACCTACTTACATTTAATATAAAGCCTAAGGTAGATAAAATATTAAGCTCTGAAAGTAGTCTAAATAAAAGAAAAATAAAAGGGTGTTCTTCAAGGCAGCATTTTTGGTCCAACTAAAGCTTTTGACTACTTTATACACCTAATAGATTATCCACCAATATTATTAGCTAAGTAATAGTTACATACAATATATACTCATACTATGTATAGAATTTATAAATAATTCTAAGCAGGTTTTTTATAATTAATTCGTTTTCGCTCGAGTACCGATGGATTCTAGTGAAGACTACATTTTTCCTTCCCGTTGACATGCACGGATCTTTTCTCCTTCCGCCTGTTGAGAAAATATGTAATATTAATATTCAGTTTTAGTTTTAGTAGAACCATGATTATGTTTCTTTAATCCATATTCAGTTTTTTATTCATT